TAAACACTATTTATTATACAATCCAACATGCACTTATTTTACCGTTCTACGTTTTCCAACACCTAATTTTAAATCCTTATTATGTTTTTTTCAAAATTAATAAGAACATAATATATGTGTGTGTATGTCTATATATATATAATATTTACGAATAAAAAAATTTTACAGCCATACATACAATAAAATGCTCAAAAAAAATAATTGAGAAAAGATGAGGGTCACGCCGAACTTTATTACCAAAAAAATAAAAAATACAACACCACCAAACTAAACATCACACAACACAAGACCAAGACAACAATTCAAAAATTGACAAAATCAACCAAATGAAAAACTAAAAATACATTCAAAAAGATTTCAAAAGCTAAATTCCAATGTAGACAGAAGCAGAGAACAACAACAATCAGCTACATAAAACAGAGATCCAAAACGGCAATGTCATTGTGGAACCAATGCCAAAACAAATATATCGTACACCAAAAAAATCACAGCATCAGTAGAGAAAAGAGACCTGCAGCAAGAGTCTGGAGACTAAAGGAGCATCTGCAAGGATAAACTCAAAGAAGATCAAGGAAGTAAAAAAGGGCATAACTATAAAACACAAAAATAAGAAGGAAGAAAAACAAAAACCAGCTGCATCAAAGACAAAAGACAGTAAACAAAAGAGAAACAAATTGAGCTCTCATACTTACTTGAAAGAAAATATTAAAATTCCTTCCAGATATCAAAAATGTCTAAAAAACATATTTAAGATATAGTTAAATTTTAATTGAACGGTTAGATATAATCAGAGTTTAAACCAAACACAACAAACTAACAAATCAAACTTTTAAGAAAAGGATAACCAAACCATAACTAGCTGAAGCAATGCTCTAGAGAAAACCAAAGCAACACCCAACAGAAACATATCACAACATCCAGAAATAACCATAACAGCCAACAACAATAAAAAACCGCTAACAACTGCTAAACCAAAACAAAAACAACAATATCACAACTGCAAAAACCACCAACTATATCTCCAAAAATAGCAAAAAATAGCAGCAGTTGTTTAACATCTAATCTCCAAAAACTAAGACAGCACTCACAAAAACAACCAGCAAAAAACAACTCCAAAAACAACAAACATGAACAACAAAATCTTAAAGAAACTGGTGCTAAAACAACCGATAAAAACCCTAAAATAGGAAAATAAAAAGCAACAGAATCAACCTCCAACCGCCAAAATTAAAACAACGCCCAAGAATAGCCACAACAGCACGACCAACTATAAAGAAAAAAATAGCACAAAAGAAGTCTATCCATCATAAGAAAAAAGGCCGAAGTATCAACAAAATAGAGACCTATACAGAAAAACAAACCAAATGATCAAGAAAAAGACCAACAATATCTAAAAACAAGCTCAGAAACTTACCTGAAATTAAAATATTAAAAATCCATCCAAATATTATAAATAATTAAAAGCCATTGGATCAAGGATATTTAAGGTATCGTTGACATTTAATAAACGGTTGGAAATTATCATAGCTCAATCTAATCTCGTCAAAACAACAAATCTTGAGGATATCCAAACTAAACAAAAAGAAAAAGAAACCAACCAACAACCAACAGAAACAAAACAAAGACTGACTAAACAAAAAGCCAAACTCCCACAGAATGAAACAGGAAAAATTAAATAGAATAAATATCTCTAATAAACGAAGGAAAATTATCTCTAAAGTTCCATCTTCTACTCTTCCACTTAATAATTTCAAGGATATTAAAAAACATTATATTTAAAGTTGAAATAAAATTATTAAAAATTCTTTCATTCATTTCCTTCCCAATAACAAAAGCTATAACATTAACAGTCAGTAACTAAAATCTCTTAATAATGTTAGAAGAAAAAAAAATCCACTTGAGTTAAAATATATAAAAGATTATCATTTAAAAGATGATAACTCCCATAAGGAATACATATTTTCAGTAAATTATGGGTAAAATTACATTAAAAGAAAAAATGATTGTGAGTTTCATTATGATTAGATCATAAAACACAAGAATAGTTAAACATAATACCTTTAACAATCAAAACATCACAAGTTTTAAGACCCGTTAAGTAAAATTTTCCAAGTATTAATGACATATCTAATAAAGTAATCTTTAAACGAAACATACTTATTCCAACTCAAAACAGTAAAACTATCAAAATACAAACGATAAACAAATTTATGAGTGTATTTGTTCCGACCATTCCAGACACAAGACGTGAAACCATTTTTAATTGGAATATCAAGAATAGACTTTAAATAAAAATCAGGAATATAACAAGAAGAAAAATATCAATCATTATTAACAATAACATCACCAACTTCAGTGAAAGAATAAAGATTAAAGATTAAGGTAATTGAAAATAACATTACCAAATTTCTTGCAAAGAGGAGAACCATTCAACCAAGGATCAAAAAAGAAAAGAAGATTACTACTAGAACTAATCTAAAATTGAAGACAATTCTTAATTCTAAAAGCCACTTGAGATAAATCCTTCCAAAAAGAGGAAGAACTACTTTTATGTTTAATCCAAAGAAACACATAATGATTAAAACCCCAAGTAGCTAAAAAAGAAGAAAAATTAAAGTTCCTCCAGAGAGTTTTTGGATTTACACATTAAATTCAACATATCTTAGGCAAACCAAAACCGCTATAAACCTTAGGTTCCTATGTATTGAGCCAAGAAATTGTATGAAATTTAGAATTAGAACCATTATAAAAAATAAAATTATTACTTAAGGAATTTTCTTTCTTAATCCTTTAGGAATAGAAATAGCATGAAATCAGTAATGTAAATAACTCTAAATAATATGCATTAAAAGTTGAAATTTGTCTGCGAAAGATAAGAATTTTAATTTCAAACCAGCAAGCCATTTTTGCAAGTTATCTCAAAATTTAGAACAATCAGTGACAGGCAATTTAGAAGAACTAATAGGCACAACTAAATAATATCAAGGTAATGATTTTAAGGAAAAACCACTAGCTTGACAAATAGTTTTGAAAATTATAATCAACAAATTTGAAAAACAAATAACATATTTATCACTCAAATTTGTAGACTTAAAAAAATAACAAAAATACAATTTAAATTGTTAATAGAATTAATATTAGCTTTTTCCAAAAACTAACTTAACTAAGATGAAAAACATTACACCTATCAATAATATTATTTGAGAAACAAAAATTAGTATATCGAGAATCCAAAAGGCAAGACAATTTAAATTGTTAATAGAATTAATATTAGCTTTTCCAAAAACTAACTTAAATAAGATGAAAAACATTATACCTATCAATAATATTATTTGAGAAACAAAAGTTAGTATATCGAGAATCAAAAGGCAAGGAAAAACATTCATTACTATGGTGACAGGTTCCAAAATCTTAAAAAGAAAAAAAAAAGAAAACTTCTCCATCCAAAAATCATTACCAAAAGCTCTATCCAAAATACTCATTGAAAAATCTTTCTTGTTAATTAAACCAACAAAAAAAAACCATTATAAGGAAGATAAATAATACCATAATTAAAAATAAAGTTATTAGAATCCACAAGTTTACTGGAAATATATGAAGAACCACCCATTTTCTCTTTAATACTTCTAATAAATTTAAAATACCTCAAGATAATCTAATGATCATGAATATTAAGACTTGCATAAATCTTTTCTACCCATGACACTAGCATCATCGTACACAAAAATAATAAAATGCTCAAAACTCGAAACAGAATCATAAAAAAATAAATTCAAAAGTTTTAAGAGGTAGGGAAAATTACCCTGCTCAAAAGAATAAAAATATAATCTGTGCAATGGACAAACACGTAATTAAAGTAGTCTAAATCAGTTGATAATGGGCATTTAATGCCTCCTGTAGTTTTGTTTGCGCCTTTACCTCTAATAAATGTGTTGCCCCTTGAAATTGAACAGAGGTATCCGTCAAAATTAATTGCTTTCCGATCACTTGTCATATTCTCAATTTTCCTTTCTGAAGAACATATCTTCTTATGGCTAATAATGTAAACGTTCAGACTTGTATCAAATATATTTTTATTTGACAAAAGAATTTTCATACTATATTTTGAACAAAAATATGCTCAAACAAAATAGACTTCTATATTCCCAATATTTACTAATTATTAAAATACAAATCTACCGAGATAGAACTGGCTTTATTTGAATTAAATTAACCCAATTTGCAGATTAAGTCTGAAGTATTGGCAATGGAGGAATCATTTAAAAATTTGCATCAGTGTCAAGAGAAATTGATGTCGTTTTAAGATATTTTAGGGCATAAGAAAAGAGTAGGTAAATTGTTGGATAGATAAGGAAAACATGAGGATAGATGTCAGATGAAATTCTACATGATCAGCAAGATGACAGCAAATCTAAAGCTAAAAACAGCTACTTTGCAGTATACAGCAATTTGTATGACGCGGAGACCGCATGACCGGAAGATCACCATTTGATCAGGCTACAAACAAACCACCTCAAACAATCAAAAGATACAGCACTCTAAGAAAAAAAAAATATACATCTCCAAATAACATAAATGAAACCAAAGTCTAAAAATATTGAAAAATGAAAGATATAAATAATTTTCTAGTAGAAAAAACCTAAATAGAGATGCAGAAACATGAAAGAAATCAGAAAAGAAAAAATATGCGCAATTTGGAAGTTGTCGGTCTTATTCCAATCTTATGATCGTAGGGATTCTGAATTGTGCGAAACTTGCGACCCATTACTCCGTGGAAATCCAGCGACGGGATCGTGGGCGCGTAGAGAGATTGTGGAAAAGAAAGTGAGAGAGAAAACACAGAGAGAATAGTTAGAAGGAAAAAACGAGCAATTGAAGATAGTGCAAGAGAAGAGAGAGGGGTATATGAGGGAGGGATGGATTGAGAGAGAGGGGAAGAAAGAGAAAGAGAGGGTGAGAGGAAGAAAGGAGGGAGGGAGGAGGGTGTGAGGGAGTGAGGGGGAGGGAGATGAAGGAAGAGTGAGGGACAAAAAAGAAGGGGTTTCTGAGAGAGAGTAGGGAGAGAGATAGAGAGAGACAGAGAGATCAAGAGGGATAGAGAAGAGTCGGTGACAAAAAAGACACCAAGAGAGAGAGAGAGCAATAAAGGGAGAACGAGCCAGAAAGATAAGAAATGAGAGTGAGAGTTTGTGAAAGAGCAAGAAATAGAGAAATGGAGGGAGAGGCCCAATCCCATGATTTGCAGGACTCTCCCGCGTCAGAGATGAATTCCAACTGATTGAAATTTGATTTGAACCTAATTCAAACCAAATCCAAATGTTACAATGAAGATCTTGCTTAAATTATCATAGGAACACCGTTCTACCAATCACAGAAAAAAATTACATTCTACATCTTTTTTTTTTTCTGGGTCACAACTATTGTAGAAAGAACTGCATAAATCCTCTGCTGAAATCCTAGTCAGATTGAAAGCACGAGCTTGTTCAGAACCATTCTGAAATCCTCTTCTGTTCGATCCTCAAAAGGCATGATTTGTAGTGAAGAACAAAGGACCATGATTTGGAAATCATCAATCTCTCTTAGAATCTCAGGATCACGATCATAATCCTATAAAAGAAAGGGAATTTACATACATAGCAAACAATTCTTGTGTATTTGCATATCTAACATCTAAAATTTGATATTTACTTTTATAACACACGTTGATATCATATATTTATGTAAGTAAAGGTGCATTTTACTTTTAAATAGTAATGGTAGTATTTTTTGTGTGATGCCAAGGATTGGAATGTTGGACATGTAAATAAGAAAGTTAAGGTGTTAGATATGATATATGTTATCAAAAAAATCAGTCATCAGAACATTCATACATACCACATAATAATAAAAATTTGATATTATATTTACAACACTTTGGTGTCATAAATGTATAAAAGAAATTATTGCACTTTAAAAAGTTAGTATTGTGGTATTTTTAGGTGATAGTTAAAAATTTTGAGGACAATGAATGTAAATATCAAAATTTAGTTGTGTAATATGTACGTAAATGCGTCAAAACAATGTAATCAATTACGAGAGAGAACTCAGCAACTAATCACTGTACCTTTTCTGTGACGAGTACAGTAGCGTTGGTACCAAATCTACTATGTAGAAGCGTGAGGATTTTTATGATCTTATTTACATCCTGTCAACCAAAAAGAGAATAAAGGCCATAAATACCACATTGTAAAATAAAACTGACAATTTAAATAGTTTCTGCTGCACATAAAGTATGCACAGTTTAAGTATATTTGAAAATGACTTTCTCTATTTTCAAAGTTAAAAATAAAAATAGTTAAAGAATACAAGCCAGATATTTTTTGAACATATACGTAAAAAAACACAAGATAGTTCCAAACAAGCCCTCCTAAGTTACCACAAACAGGACAAGATACTCACATTTGGCTTTATAGAATGGTGATCACTGAAGTCTAATCTATCAACATGCAACGGCCCAATCTGCATCCAATCAAAATACTCACAATTATATTAAAGAAAAATGCTGAACTTCCATTAACCTGCCAACTGAAGAATAATTACAAAATGCACTACCATCTTTTAAGCTCCCAAAGAAAAACAAAATAAAAGAAAAGTTTCAATATATAATAAAAGCTGAAAAAAGTGACTTCCAAATGTCGGCATAAAAGACTTAAACCAAAAATTAAAGACAAAACAAATATTCCCAAATAAAACAAATCCTATGAGAGTAATAGCGCTTAATCCTAGGCGGCTTTTCTTGATGAAGACAACTCCTAAATTCACATGATTTTAGTGGACATTCTACATCTATATTAGCCACTTCATAAAAAACACAATAATATCTTTAATTTTTCATGAATTTTATAAATTAGTCTAAAACTTAACAAAAACTTATTTTTAGATGTTCAAATACTTCATCTTTTTTCCAAAACTCTAATCCATAATCAAATGTAAGAAATTAAACACTATGAAATAGACAATCTCCTCATTCAAGCATCACATTTATCTACCAAATACTCTTTTCACTTTTCGCTTCTTTTTCTCACTTTCTCCCTCTTCTTTTCTTGTATCATTAGTGGTTAGAATTTTAACCAACTTTTGCTAGATCTTCTACAACTAAGGTTGTAAACGAGCCAAGCTTGAGCGAGCTCAGGTTTGGCTCGTTGTTCGGCTCATTCCAAATTGGCTCGTGTTTGAAATTGGCTTGTGTTCAAAATTGCTCGTGAACAATGTGTTCATGTTTGACTCGAAATTGACTCGTTTAAATTAATTAGAAAAAGTAGATATAGAGTGTTGGATTTGAACTTGCACCAATTTGTGCAATAGAAGACACAAAACCACATGACCACTACAAGTTGGTATATAATTTAAACCTCTATTTTAAGAGGTATTAAAGGGGGGGCGGCGCACCCAACCCATGAGGGAGGCGCAATCCTCACGGGGCATACGCAGTGAATAGCTCTTATATGCTCTACAGCTCAATTTTCACTCCATCAGAGTGTACCCCTCACTTTTTAGGTAAATAAAAGAGACAAAAATCTCTAATTTTCCCCGCATACCGCAACAGAAGTCTCACAGTCAGCTCCTTTGTTCCGTCTCTTCCACAGCCACATGCAGAAATCTATTGCATCATCTCCTTCCTCTCTCCACAATCGCACGCAAACGCTCCCGCAACAGATTGTAACGTCGCTTCCACATGCAGAAATCTATTGCATCATCTCCTTCCTCCTCCACAATCGCACGCAAACGCACCCGCAACAGTCATTGTAACGTCGCTCGCACGCAAACGATCTCGCACGCAGACGTCGCAGTCGTCTGGCTTCCTCTCTCTCGCAGAGCTTCCTCTCTCCTGCAAACGTTCTTCCCCATTCCTACTGACGC